TTCATATTGAGTCTTATCTAGAAACAAGTTGTTTCATTATTGAAACATTATTGTTTCATTAATTAAATCCTTTTTATGTTGCTCACTAGTTTTAACATAGGATTAAAAAAAAATTTTTTTAATGTTTATTTATTTTTGAGAGAAAGCACGAGTGAGGGAGGGGCAGAGAAAGAGGGAGACACAGAATCTGAAGCAGGCTCCAGGCTCTGAGCTCTCAGCACACAGCCCAATGCAAGGCTGTAACTCACAGGCCATGAGATCATGACCTGAGCTGAAGTCAACACTTAACCAACTGAGCTACCCAGGCGCCCCTCATAGGATTTTTTTTAAAGTAATTTTCTACCCCCAAAGTAGGGCTCGAACTCATGACCCAGAGTTCACATGCTCTTCCAACTGAGCCCGCCAGGCACCCCAGAAGCTTCATATTTCTTAAAGAATATATTCCTAGTTATTTTACTTTATTTCCTATTTTGAGTCAGAACTTTGCTTTAATGTGTTTTTGGGTGTTTTTTTTTTTTTTTGCCACCTAGCAAACATTCCTCTTTCTACCAGAGACATTTCCTTCTCTCAGTTCCTGTGTATCTAGGGGTAAAACATGTGATTCAGGTCTAGCTAATTAGAGAATCACATTCCTCTGGCCACAGTGATGGGTTCAGGAATTGGAAATAACCCAAGCTGGGCTGGTTAGAGTGAATCTGTGATTTATGTAAGAGCAACTGAGTAGTTAGTTAGTTACTCTTATTTTCCTGCTTGATTTGCAACCTGGGCAGTTGAAGACCTGGTGGCCTAGCAGTGATCTTGCCTGAAAATGGAGCCTGAAAATAAAATCAAAATTAAAGAGGGGTGCCTGGCTCATTTGGTAGAGCATGCAACTGCTGATCTCAGGGTTGTGAGTTCAAGCCCCATGTTGGGTGTGGAGCCTACTTAAAAAAAAAAAAAAGAATACAGCTGAGATTTGGAGAAATGCCAGGTTCTGATGAATCATGTGAAGCCTTGCATCTAGCCGTGTAGCCCATACACTGAAGGGTAGCCAATAAATTCTGTTTTGCTGAAGCCAGTCTGAGTTGTTAGTGGTCACTTGCAACTAAAAAAAAAATTTTTTTTTTTAAGATTTTATTTTTAAATAATCTCTACACCCAACATGGAGCTCGAACTTACAACCCCGAGATAAAGAATCACATGATCATCCAACTGAGACAGCCAGGCACCCTGCAACCAAAAAATTCTTAAGCATACATTATGCACAAATGCTAGATTTTGCTCTGAGTCAAATTTTGTCCTACAGTGTCCAAGAGGTACCCATCTAGTTCTACTTTATTAAGTATATTTTTAAAATTAGGAATGGATAATTGAATTTAATCGAATGCTTCTTTGGGCATCTTTTGAGATTATTCTGCTATTTTTCTTTTGACCTATTAATATACAAATTATGCTAACAGGCTTCCTATTATTTTTGTTTTATGGTCTCCTCAGCACATGCTAAGCATATGGTCAGCCCTCAAGAAAATACACATTGAATGAATTAACTATTGTACTCAATATACAAGTATTTTACTTAAGATTTTTTACATTGATTGCTAAGACTGACCTCTCATATCATTTTTTAGTTTTGTTTCAGGCAAGTTTTGGTATCGGTGTTATGGTTTACAAATTTTCCTTCTTTGTGCAATTGGATAATTCATTCTAAGAAACATTGGAATTATCTGTCTTTGATCATTTGAAAATGTTCACTTGTAGAATCACCTATTCTTTCTCCTTTTTGGAAGACTGCTCCTGGGCAATCTTCTCAATCTCTTTCTTCTTAGGTAAAGTCTGTTAACTTGTATTTTTCTAGAAAATACCCAGCTTTTCAGATTTATTTACACAAAATTTTCATAATTCTTTTAATTTCCTCAGTATTAGTGATCATTTTCCCCTTCTTGTTTTTAATTTTTACACTGGGATATTTTAAATAGATTTTAGGTTGTCTGGATAGGCGTTACATACGCCAAACTAAATTTGTACCAAGAGACACACAAGGTCATTTAGCAAACATTTTGCTATGGGTGACATAAACTTTTAGGTTAAGGATTTTTATTAAGTCTGTTTTTGGAAACAACTAAGAGGAGAGACAATGGCATTTCACTGGGGACTTGAGTGCCTGTAATCCAGTGACAGCAGACCTTACTCAGTAAACTCATTTCCCACTCTAATGTGTGGATAAACACAATATGCCCTGTAGAGATTCTCCTCAGCAGCAGTTCACACTGAGTGATTTGGGTTAAAAGGATTAAGGACTTGCAAATAGTTAGATTACAACAGATCATTCTGAATCACAGCCATGGCCTGGAGACATTACTGGGTAATCTATTGAAAAAACATAAAATCAGAACTACCAATGATACCACCATTTCACTTTTGCTATCTTATGGGGGTTCCAAATATTCTTCCAAAATAGGCATGCAGGGCAACACTTCAATCTTGCTACGTTAAGTATTTTCCTTCTGCAGGGAGTGTAGAACATCAGTATGTATAATTGCTGCTTGAAATGGAAAAATAAAATAAAAAAGGGTGTGAAAAAGAGAAAATTGTCCAAAGTAGCAATCCACCCCCTCGCAGCTGTAAATTACTCATTAGTCGTTAATGTCACTGTACTGAGCTGGAACTGAGTCAGCCATCACCCAGGCTGCAGTGAAGCAGAATTTAATCTCCCTCATCTTTTCATTACAGGGCTTTTACTTCATGCATCAGTAACAGAGGAAAGACCAATGCTTTGTAACAGGAATTCCATCCAAGTTGTCTCTGGAACAATTTGGTTCCAAGTGAATCAATTACTCTCAGTAAAAACAAGAAGAGGAATTCCTTTCTTGCCAATTTTCTGTCAAAAATGATCTAGAGAGATAAAGGAAGAACAGAAATGTTTACTTTTATATCTGCCTCAAGTTCTCTGGGATTAGCTACTCTGATTCATTAATATATGCTTTGCTCCTTATGCACCATGTTTAAAGGCAAATGCTTAAGTTGGAATAAAATGAAATATTAAAATTCCTTTAAAAAAAAAGTTAAAAGGGGGGTGGCGCCTAGGTGGCTCAGTCAGTTAAGCATCCAACTTCAGCTCAGGTCATGATCTCCTGGTTTGTGAGTTCGCATCAGGCTATGTGGGGACAGCTCAGAGCCTGGAACCTGCTTCAGATTCTGTGTCTCCCTGTCTCTGTTCCTCCCCTGCTTGTGCTCCCTCTCTCTCAAAAATGAATAAACGTTAAAAAAAAAAAGTTAAAAAAAAATAAAATTCCTTAATGAATTTGAGTAGTAATTCCTAATTTATAAGAAAATAGGTATTTCTTTAGAGCCTGGCAAATATGTATAAGCATAATATGTTAATAAAATAGGCCTTCCTTCAAAAATAAAACCTCTTAATTTGCCTGGAAAAAAGATGTCCAGTGATCCATACAATTAAGTCACGTTACATAGTTGTCATAAAGAACTCTGTTTATTTACTGGTAGAAATAAAAAAATTTTTTTTTTCAACGTTTATTTATTTTGGGGACAGAGAGAGACAGAGCATGAACGGGGGAGGGGCAGAGAGAGAGGGAGACACAGAATCGGAAACAGGCTCCAGGCTCTGAGCCATCAGCCCAGAGCCCGACGCGGGGCTCGAACTCACGGAGCGCGAGATCGTGACCTGGCTGAAGTCGGACGCTTAACCGACTGCGCCACCCAGGCGCCCCTAAAATTTAATATAATGAATGAGAAGTTATGTTACAACTGATTTCTTGAATTTTTATATGATTTTTCACTTGGATTCTTAAAGGTAAGTGAAAAGTTTTAAATAGGTTTTGCTCAAACTCTCTCTCCTCTCACTCACTCATCTTTTCTGTTGTGTCTTCACACTTCTCACTTTACTCTTTCCATTTACCCAGGCATTATTTATGATAATATTTTGTTAGGGCAGTCTCTTGCTCCAATTATTGTCACATATTTTCAAAATACACCTGTATTTTTTCTTTTTCCCTCCTTTTATTGACTAGTTTGAAATATATATAATTTTGCATTTTTTTCTCCTTCTTCTGCTAAAATCAATAAGTGCATAAAGAATTAGATTTCATGCTGTGTAGACATTTTCTGTGTGTCACTACACATGAGAAGATTTTAATATAAAGTTTATTTTGAGAGAAAGAGTACACATGTGAGCACAGGAGGGGCAGAGAGGGAGACAGAATCCCAAGCAGGCTCCATGTTCAGCACAAAGCCTGACATGGGGCTCCATCCCATGACCATGAAACCATGAGCTGAGCTGAAATCGAGAGTTGGACACTCAACTGACTGAGCCACCCAGGCGCCCCATATTTTAATATTTTTAAGCGAATAATGTAGAAAGGTACTCACCCACAGTTCCTTCTGTGCCATCTGTTTCCTTTGGGATATAATGTGCAGAAAGATCACTCTGAAGGACTTCGTCTGATGTGGCTCTGGCTAAAGCAGCAGCCAAAAAGGAAGGGCAATTACTGAAAGAGAAAGGGCTATTTCAGTAAGAATTAGGAAATAATCCATTTAACATTAATAATTACTTAGTATTAATATATTTATCTCAAAACAAAATTATATCTTTAAACACTGTTCAACACATATTTATTGAGTGTATATTATGTGCTAGGCATTCTGCCTTGGAATTGGGTATACAATGGTGAATAACACAGACATGACCTCTGACTCAGTAGGGCTTATAATCTAGTTAGGGAGACATGATAAATAGGTAAACAAATAGTTGAAATTGGGATAAGTTTTATAAAAGAAACAAACAGGTTACAGTGATAGAAAATAAAGAGGGGGATACCTACTTAGAATGGTCAGGAATCTGTACCTTGGATTCCTGGATTCCAATAGATTCAGGAATCTATTCCTAAAGAACAGGAAAGATTCAGTTTTGTGGGTGTGGGAAGTTGGGAGAGAATATTCCAGGCACAGAAAGTGCCGTGTGTACAGATCCCTTCTGAGAGCTTGGGATGTTTGAGGAACTGAAAAAAGCCCAGAGAAGATGAAGATAGTGGAAAAGGAGGAACGATGGCAGGGAATAAGGTCAGAGCGACAAGCAATGGCCAGTTATATGAACCTTTTGGACCATGGAAAGGAACTCAGATCTTACTCAAAGTGCAGTGGGAAGTCACTGAAGACTGTGAGCAAGGGCATGCCATAACCAGACATATTAATTAAAATATGACTTTGACTACCAATGGAAATCCGAAAGGAGCAAGAGTAAAGAAGGGTGTCCAATAACAAGATTGTTGTAATCCAGGTGAGATTGAAAAAAAGAGTATAATCTGGAGAAAGAAAATACAGAACCTGCTGATTACTGGAATACAGAGGTCAGAGAAAAGAATTGAGACTGAGTCCTGGGTTTTGGACTGAGCAACTAGGTGAATGTGGCATCATTCCCCTAGATGGAGAAACCAGGAAAAGAACAGGTTTGTGGGAGGAAAGGGTGAAGAAGAAAATAAGAGTTAATTTTATCATGTTAAATTGGAAATATCTGTGAGATATCCTAGTTAAAGGTATCAAATAGTTATTAGATATTCTAGCGTGGAACTCAGAGATGTCAGGAAATTCAGAAGCCATGAATGTGCGGATGGTATGTTTTTTTTTTTTTAAAGTTGCTTTTTAT